ATTTTCCTATTGTATGCAACGGAAATCGTCTACATTATGCATATCGTCGTATGTTGGGCGGAGCTTTTGCGGACATTTCAACACGTTGGTGAACTTGTTAACCCTCTACTACGAGGCGTGTTTTTTGTGATCTCTCGCTACCAACCCTGCCTCGTGTGACAACAGCATATAAACATGGCAGGCTAGAGAGTACAAAGAACCATGCTTTGAAGTAGAGGCTTGACAAGTTCACCAACGTGTTGAAATGTTCGCAAAAGCTCCGCCCAACGTACGCCGGGAAGACGACGATACTTGACTGTATTTTCCTCAGTTATCCAGACTAAGAGATCGGCGCTCAATATGGGTAGCCATTGCGGTCATTTTATAAGCCTTAAATTTGCCTGAAGAAGTCTATCGCCGAAGCTTTGCTCATTTCTGTAAGTGTAATGCTAGTGCATCCTAATAGCTGTTTTTGCAAAAACATTAAGCTGCTCAGTACGCAGAAAATCGGAAGATTCTATAATTGGGGTTTTGAGGCATATTGGAAAAATGTTTTAAAAAAGGGCGGTTTTAAATTTCAATTTTTTCCTTTTTTCAAATTCTTTTTCTCCAAACCCTTTTCATCGTACTTTGTACTACTGGCTTGCGGCCACAGGAAACGTTTTTTCAAGATTTATATTTCAGCGCACCGAAGCTATGGAGAGAGCCTCACAATTAGCTGCAGCTTTCCTTTACTTACACAAACAGAATGGGTTCATAATTATATATACCACCATATTTTGAGATATCTAATGTTGATATATTAGGTCGTTCCGAAAGTGATGTCGCTTTTTTCAAACGTACACCACATCTCGTGGGACAAAGATGTGTTAGAGATTCTGGAAGCATTTGATGCAGCATTTCATTCTCTTTCTAAAGGTTATATAACCACTGCACAAAATTCAATAACCTTTCGGATAAGAGCTGTTGCAAAAGCAAAATGGCTATCTTGTAGAGCTCGCTTTGCTCTATCGAATGGTACTTTGCAATCTATTTAGAAATGAGAAGTTTATGACTTAGTGCGGTTCAAATTCAAAACGGGCACTAATTTCCGGACAACCTAATATCACGTTCATTGAACGTGACTACTTACTTGATAAAATGAACTTTTTTGATAAGTGATCATGACGGAATTTTGGCAAAGTTTATTTTTTGGGATGCTTTTCAAAATTTTCCGGGCCCTTGACCCCTTAAAAAATTTTTTACAAGGCTAATTTGAATTTTTAAAAAAATGAAAATTATTCCAATTATTTACAGGGAGAAAGAAGTCCTCTCCACATTTTTACAACACATTTAAGTAACTTTCAAGAATTTCGCACTCATTCTCGGGGGAGGGGGGGGGGCTCAGTACGCCACTGCTATAGGGTGTCCCAAAAGTCTTGTAGCCTAATTTTGCAATAATTGTAGCTTATGAATCACTAGCGATTTTAATTTTAAATTCATGCCACAGGATGATGGAATGATCCTTTATAACAACTTTATTAGTCCAGATTGGTCTTCATATTTAATAGGAAAAATAGACTTATCAAATTATTTCTATCTTACAGCTCGAAAATCTATTTTCTCTGGGTTCATAATTTATTACGCTTTTGGAAAGTTTTGAAGCACACTGCAGCCAAGTTGCTGACTTCCTGAAATTCCCCTGGTTGCAGCCGTTTCCGAGTCGTGGTACTACGAGAGCCGAACGTTACATGAAAGGAAGATACTATCGTTTGCTCATTTATCATTTCTCTTGAGATCTGCATCCTCATGTTGAAAGTTTTTTACTACCATAATTGGTTTAATCCTTCTTACGCATGTTTGTAGCCTTTTAACATCGTTGGTGGCTTAGTCCTGCTCTTCGTATTGCGCACCCTTAAAGGCAGCGTACACCCAAAACAAATGCAACAGATGTTGCAACAGCAACTGCAACTGCAATTGCAGCTTACGCTGTTATGGATTCGTCCGGAGGAGGCGGAGCGAAAGAAAAGGGGCGGCATGAAAGAAAATTGAGGGGGGTTTTCTCCGCTCAGAAGCAACATTGGGAGACGGGACCAACGCAGTTGGTCTTCTTCTGGGCCCAGTATATACACGGTGTAGAAAGATCTTGGAAATTCGGTAACTCAAATTTTGGGTGTACGCTGCCTTTAAGAAATGCGCAAATGTTTCAATTTCACCACACGCTCGTTGCACATTATGCTTGCCCATGTCTTTCCCTTTCTCTTTTTCTGTAATTGTGCTATTAATTCGTAGTGTCTCTTTCGAAGGGAGAGGGGAAGTGGTGGAGGCAGTGGATTAAGAGGAGGGAATGGAAGTGTGGTCGAAGAAAGTTACATGGAAGGAGAATGACCATGCAGTAAGACGCGTACGATCCCTCCTCGCGGATGCTGCTAAAAATTCCGAAAATCTTCGTCGATTGAGAGGCAAAAGTGGGCTTTTTTGTCTTTACCCTTATTCTAAGGTTGAGCCAATAGCCAAGATACAAAATAAATTAGGAATTAATCAGGGCTTGGCATAGCTGGCACCGGCACAAGCAGGATATCGTTTTTGTGGCCTAAAAGATACAAAACTTGCAACGGTTTTTCAAATTGTTTCGTATTCTGAAGGCTTTTATGTTTCCGGCTCAGGGCAAAGGGGACTTCGTTTTGAAATTTTCCTGGTGCCATCTCACACCGAGCTCTGAAATTAATGAGGAGGCTGTGGAAAGGCTACAGAAAACTTCATGAATTTTTTCGAGATCAATGGTAGCCTTCATAATATTCCTTAGCAGACGAATCAAATATAAACAGACTTCGGACAGGGAGAAGTACATTTTGGAAGAGAGCTCAGGATGAAAGTAGGGCAATGGACTTAGCTCAGCTCTCCCAGTCCGTATTCATAGAGGTCCATGTATTTGAATCTTTGGAAGCTTAGTAACGATTTGCGCAAATTTACTCAACTTCACCGATTACTGATTACACAATAATTTAGATTTGATTTTCCTTATGAATCTCTTGATCATCAGCAAAACTGATATGAGCAATGAGTTTTTAGGGTGCGTGGCGTTAGGTACCCAGCCGAGGTGCGGGCGTTAGGTACCCAGCCATTAGTGGTATACTCTAAGCCACGCCCCTTGGTTGCTTCAACAGCGGGTACCTAACGATACATCGAATCTCAGCTGCTAGAACAGCTCACCTGGCTCACTAAAGCGCTGGCGCTTGCGACCCGCGGAAGAAAGTTCGAGAAAATCAAAAAACAAATCGCGCGAATGAAAGTGCAACGTTTTCTCTATGCTTCTTTTTATCTATTTTAGAAGAACAGAAATTTGGTGGAAGGTTAAAACGAGGTAAAACAGGTTTTCATGAGCACTTCCCATAGTTTTGCAAAAAGAAATGGTGATGGTCTGATCTAACCGATAAGGTCAGCGGGATTTCTGACAAAGTCAACTGTAGAATTACAATAAACTAATTTTATGTTTCTAATAAAGCAAAGCGCAATTTCGCAGTTGCCCCTGGCAAATAAGTTATACGGAATATTTCTTCATTCCAAAATAGTGCTTCAAATAATTGACAATGAAAAGTGGAAGCGATTGGGAGAACGAGAACGAGAATTTGTCATCAGGAATCGGAACTCAATGAAGAACTATGTGACCCATTGATTTAGGGGAAGGGCGCTAGCTCTGTTCCAATCAGGGTGACCCTTTTGCGTTAATATTGCCACAGGGATCGTGAACTGCATTGTAGATTATTAAGGCTATTACTTCGGTCATTGCTGAGGCTAAAAGAATTATGGGACATTACCTTTACAAGCACACATTATCTTTATTTCGGATATCACATCCCTTATAAAAATGTCATTGAGCTGCATTTTATCATGCCTATATTCTCTGCACTGCTTTTTGGAGCACTTTTATATTGCAATTATTTCATATACATTCTCTTTTCTAGCAGCCAAAATGTGATCAATTCATCCAACCAAAGCTAAGAATTTCTTTGTAACTCACTAAAAAGTGAAAGATGTTGTCAATAAAGCTCTCAGTAGAGTTTGTTGCTTTTTTCTGTTTTTCTATTGGACACTCAACCGAAGTTGGCATATCAATTTTCATTGATTAGAACAGAGCTAGTGCCCTTCCCCTAAATCAATGGGTCACATAGTTCTCCATTGAGTTCCGATTCCTGATGACAAATTCTCGTTCTCGTTCTCCCAATCGCTTCCACTTTTCATTGTCAATTATTTGAAGCACTTTTTTGGAATGAAGAAATATTCCGTACAACTTATTTGCCAGGGGCAACTGCGAAATTGCGCTTTGCTTCATTAAAACCATAAAATTAGTTCATTGGAATTCTACAAACTTGATTTTGTCAGAATTCCCGCTGATGTTATCGGTTAGATCACGCTATCACAATTTCTATTTGCAAAACTATTGAAGTGCTCATGAAAGCCTGTTTTACCTCGTTTTAACTTTCCACCGAATTTCTGTTATTCTAAAAATGAAAAAAAGAAGTAATAGGAAAACGTTGCAATTTCATTCGCGCGATTTGTTTTTGATTTCCTCGAACTTTTTTCTGCGGGTCGCAAGCGCCAGCGCTTTAGTGAGCCAGGTGAGCTGTCTTAGCAGCTAAGACTCGGTGTATCGTTAGGTACCCGCTGTTAAAGCAACCAAGGGGCGTGGCTTAGAGTATACCATTAATGGCTGAGTACCTAACGCCCACACCTCGGCTGGGTACCTAACGCCCGCCCCCCAGTTTTTATGGTATTACTAATATGTTTTGCATGGAAATAATGCTTAATTTTGTTTTTATGTATTTCCTCCTACCCAATTTGTCACCACGGTTATGCTAGAATAGTGCTTCAGTTGGCCATTACTGTAATCACTTAGGATCAGCTGACACGCAATGGAATCATCACTAGCACCAAGCGGACATTGAACCCTGTACCTTTGTCTCTACGACTGCGCATGATCGCACTGCACTATGCAGAGTTCCGGTGTTGTTAACATTTGACATCTTGCCCTATTTCACGTGCGTTTATTCCACAGACATACCCATTCTACCTTTATCAAACAAACCAACGACAGAGCATGCAAAAGAAAAACCACAGATAACAAAGGAAAGATAAGTTGAAACAATGCGTCTCCTCTTTCAAAAAACATTCTTGGTACTCGTAACAAAAAATTTGAGATCGCTATGGCGTAGCGAGGAAGAAAATGACCCTAGCACAATGTGACCATGTCACTCAAATGTTACTGTGTGGATTAATAGATATAAGAGTCAAAATTTCACTCCAGATAAATGTCCTCAGTAGGATGTGCAAAGGCCATGTATTCGTCGTAAGATCGCTTGAAAGCTCTCCTGAAAATAATTTTGTTACTATAAATCATGCTAATTTATCAATGTACTAGTATGGAATTTAATTTCATTTTGATTTATATCAATTCGTTAATTTACAATTCATAACACTGCATTGGTTTATGATTCAATTACAAATTACCCATCACTCAACAGAATAATGCTTGCTGTCTCGACAACTTAAAAAATTTGTAATCGTAGTACTGCACAATACGCCCCTTATTTCACGACTATCTGCTCGACAAGTTATCAATTTTCACGTGTTTGCTTTTTTGAGTGCAATGGTTTAGTTACGTAGATGTACGCTATTTAAAAATTGAGTGAAAATCGTTTTTGCTTGAAGTTTACTGGTAAATGCCGTGAGCTGTGGAGTGCGACGTATGATTTTACCGTTTGAGTTATTACTTACTAAGACAAGGTATCTTGAATCTAAGTCCTTGAGACCTTATTCTTTGGACTTACCCGATAGATTCCACAATTGGTTGTGTTGATTGACTAGACAAGAACACATGGCACGCAAATCGAGGCAATAACGGATGCTTCGTAATAAATCCAAAATATCTAAATTAATATATTTATGAGAGTCAAAGTGGAAAAGAAAAGACTCACTTCAACTGTTTCGGATGTGCACCGCAGAAGCTTATATTTTGCAGACTGTAGAAGAAGTCGAAAGTGGGACATTGAAAGAACTGAAAAAACTTACGAGTTTTTAAGCGGAGCCAAAATAAAAATTATTTACGTTTTTTCGTCGTTTGTCGATTACATGTATGCCACGAAATGAGACTTCCATAAGCACAGTTTGTGGAACAATCACTTCCTCAGCGTTTTTGTACATGGACAGAACCTAGAAAGATATACTTGCATCAAAAACTTTATCTCGGTATGAGTGATTGAAATACCTTGTTCATAGCCTGCACCAAAACGTCGTTTCCTTTGTGATGGCCTACCTCGATTGAGGCTAACATTGTCAGGTAGAACGTATCTCGCTCAGATTCTGTCACTTCTGGAAATATTCTCGGGTTACAAATCGAAGAGTGTTGTTTGCAAGTTGCAATACAAACATCTAAAAATATTGGAAATGGAAGCGCTGGACACATATGATCTAGGGAAAAATTCGCTTAAGACAAGCCATGAATTTTTTTAGAGCGACACTTTCTGAGCAGAAATAACGTTTTCAGTGCTGTAGAAAGTACGGTTTGTACTAGAGTTGGAAAATAATCGCAAAAATTCGAAGCAAAACCCACTGTTTGCATTTGATGGAAGAGCTCCCATGCAAATTTCTTCGACTATGTCGATTTCGCAGACCACTGCTGAAGGAAAGATTCCAGACATACCCGTTCTGAGATTTGTTCCTGAAAAAAAACCTATTTCGTTAATGCAGACAGCAATTACGCATTTTTCAACTTTCAGATATTGCAGTGTAATCGTCGAATATCAAATCAGTTCACTCATATAGACAAAATGAACATTAAAGTTTACAGTCGCGATGCATTACTTCATGGTTTCCGAAGCAGTAACTTACCGTAACACCAGTGATCCTCGCATGTTCGATCCACATGAATAGCATCTCCAATATCGAGCAAAACTTCATCAGAATGTCTGGAAGATACATTTAGTTTTTAGAAAGTTCCGAAAATTCGAACTCTGACCTCGGAATGAAAGCCGACTGGGCTCTGTGCGTAGGATTGAGGCTATCGGATGTTGTGCATGATGAGATGCCGCTAGAGTCGTCTGGAGAGAAGAAAGCTGCAATATTATAGTCGCATAATTATGTTTAATCAAACAAAATCTCATATAGGCTAAGGTCATTCTGAGGTGCGCTTATTCTTGTAACCCCTATGAAAATCTGGTCACCGAATGGCCCCAATCATTGCCAAGCCAAGTGCTGCACGGTTGGATATTGCCAATTTCGATTGATTTATTGCGATGTTCTCATACTATAGCGTAATCGACCGAGGTGAAGGGCCTTTTATGATCCATAGGGTGCATTAATTACCCTCCAGCCACGTTGGCAGCCATATGGAAGGCACCAAACAAGCAATTAGTTCAGAAATGGCAAGGCACTACCCTTCTACGGTGTTGAGCTCATTATTTCCACGTGTAAACTAAGATAAGATCCTTTGGCGTGATGGCTCAAAGGTGTTATATACCGCTCGATACCAGAAAGTAGTTATCTAGCGCCACCCTGGCTTTAGATGACTTATTCGGACCATAATTGGTTTCCGATGCGGTGCTCTTCAGGAGCTTTTCAGAAACTAGATCTCCTATATTTCTAAAATAGTCGTGCTATACTTTGTGCCAGCAGTTTTCGTTAAAATTCAGCTTAACCTTCTTAGAGTCAGTTACAAGATTGAGACAAAAAATCTGCTAATTTGTGCGTTCAAGAGGGCCAGGCAATGCAGCTTGCTATGTTTCAATTCGAAAAATTTTGAAATGCAAAAAAATGCGAAAAATGGTTGCAAACGTATTGGACAAGATTTTTCAGACATGCGCATGTTTGAGCTGTAAGAATTGCCTGCTCATCTAGATTATTATTATATTTCACGAAGTTACCCAGAAAAAGCATCGCACAGAATTTGGTATGGACCACAAAGTATGCGGGGCCTCTGCCCATTCCACAACCAGTTTTTTTGCAAGTTTATTTGCTATTGCGAAAGCGACGAAGCTCCCTAGAGTAAAGATGCTTACTTACATTTTCTCTGCTTCACATGCTGATTGCCATTGATGCCATCTTCCTCATAGTATGAGTCCTCAAAGGCGCTTCGTCCCATTACCGAATCGGACATGCCTGGAAATGGACATCATAGTGCATTCGCATGATTTCTACCCTGGGATTCAGGGTAGTGCAATTGTATCGATTCTCGTTGTCGACATTCAAACAGTCAGACACATGGGGCAGATTTTGTTTTTGCGCTCAAAAGTGTTACGGTAGCAGTTTTTGTAGATCAAAATATAAGAGATGTGAAAGAACTGTAGTTAGTATAAGTTGAACAACCCACTAAAAGAGCAGGGTTTTTTTTCAAATTTTTAGCAGATAGATGTGATTTTCATTTTTGTTAGCTGGGATGATGATAACTAGAACTGCAGGCTCCAAAAATGCGTGATTTACAGAGCACATCAGGGCTCTTGAAAATTGACTGCACGCAAAAGGATGAAACTTGAGCCAATTTGCCGCAGCCATGCACAGCAGGACATCCTACGAAGTTCTGTTTCTGCATAGAATGAATAATGCTTAGTCGCTTTAAAAACTACACAAAAATTTGACTGAAATAAGTTCTACCAGATAACCGTGGAGTGAAAGAGCCAAAATGGGGGAAAATAGAGGCTGCCATACCTGTATGTTTGACCAGCGGTTTGCACTGATTTCGGCCTTTACTATGGAGATAGTAGAATAACGTGTTTAGCACTGGTTTGAATGTAAGCCCAGACATTGTCGAGGCTTTCAACAATACAGATTGAAAAAAAAATTCAGAATAAAAGAGATTTATATCAAACACTTTTGCTCTAATGGAATGCAATATGATATGCACATTCTAATATTATGATTATAGATTAACAATATACTAAAGGGTGAAAAGGAAATTGCTATCTACGCAAAGAAGAAATGTGCATTTGCATGATATCAATCTAAAGTTTGCAACATTGTTAGAATCAAGGAACCTTCAAAACATTCCAGGTGTCGAAAAAATATTAGGTTGAACACTAAGTTTTGCAACTTGTTTCATAACTTCACTCTCATTCAACATGGCGCACTCAAACTTTGGCATCATGTAGAATGCAATGTGAGCTACAAGTGAGCACAAATTGTCTGAACTTTGAACACGAAATAGAAAAGTTTCAGGCATTTTTCGAAAACTAGTAAAATTTGAGAATTTTTGAGGTTTCAAGCTAAAATGAAGCTTTGGCAGCCTAGACCATGCGCAGTAATCCGGATTCGTCTACAAATTATTGCAAGAGGTTGACTCCTTTGGCCTAGCAAGAAAGAAACAAAATTTATGGGCATGTCGAGATTTGGCGTCCTCATAAATTCGAACGAGTCGATGTACGCAAGAGCTGCTGGGGACGACCGTCTATGACTAAAGAGTCCGAAGCTCAAATTCCGCCGAGACTTCACATAGTAAGGTTATTTGACCTGCCGAATGCGAATATCATATTCATTTGTTGAATCAACGCCTTTTTCCTTGTTTAGGGTGAGAGCCCATATCGTACACCTACAGTAATCCTACAAAAAAGCCCTTATCACGCAATTTCACTATCGTTTTCGTGATCAGCATGTCGGATAACATCCCTACGCCAAGTTTCAACCAAATCCGTCAAACTTTGAATTTTTCCCCTTCATACCATACACCTACCGTAACCCTCACTGCGACGTCAGAATTTGGTAGGACAGCAGCTGCGCTTGTAGTATACATAATAACCAACACAGTGGCAAAATTTGAGTGCACAATGTTGAGTGAGAGGGAAGTTATGAGAAAAGTTGCAAAACTTAGTGTTCAACCTAATATTTTTGTGAGCATTGCAATTAGTTTAAGTAATTTAAGTAAAATCAAAAATTGTGTAACTCACCATCGATGAAGCATAATGTGTGACTCTCCTGAGGATTTGGCACTGTTTGATGTGGCAAAGACATCGTTTGATAACGTAAAGACACCGGAAGAAGTGGAAGACGTCGACCCGTCAGAAACGATGATGGATTCACTGCAATTGGAAACTTTCATTTCGACTTTTCCATGCCATTTATAGTTTAACATTTGTAATGTAAGGATCAATATTGGTATAAGCAGTAAAATGTACGAATTAGAAATGATTGAAGACAAGATCGCCTTGCTACCCAAGACAAACAATAATCTTGTCAAATAATGCCGTAATGATGGCGAGCATGAATGAGTAGTATTAATATTGGGCCTAAAGTGGTTACCATTTCAGCAATGCTTTCAGCAGATTCACAAAGTAATTTTACTAAGTAATATTCATAATTTTTTTTGCTTCACAGCTAATGCATCGGAAACAAAAGATGCATAAGATTCCATGAGCTTATGTAAGATTGTAGGATTGGATTCTAATTTTCTTGACCTTCGTTTTTGCATAACCCAAGTACATCAATTTTACAGATACATAGAAGGGATTTTCCAAGAGTTGCAAGGTTAGGAGATCAAAGGAAGCAGATGTTAGGAGAATTTATCGTACAACTCAAATTTTCTATAGTCTAGACAGTGAGATACGGAAGTAAAAAAACCCCATTCCAAATAGTCTGTTCCTTTTCCTGAAACGTAAACTAAACTTTGTCCAAAATGACCTTAGACAATTAGTAATAAACAATGGTACACTTGGATGCAGCGCTTCTTGCTACAGCACCCAAGGACTACGGTAGTACGGGAATCCCTAGTTTTGATGGACCACATTTTGGTTCCGCAGGTGATTAAAAAAATGTAATGTCTTTCTTAAAACTCGTGGACACTTCTTCGAGAACCTACTACGTTATAACGCTTTTAATCTTTTTTTTGCTTCAATACTTCAGTTTAATGCTGATGAGAAAGGAGGAGTGGAGCATTATTCTTATTCACTTGCCACATTCATTAACAGTATGCTCGGATGATAGACTGATTGCCATAAAAAGAATTCAATGTGCTCAAATATTTCCTTTCAGAGATGTCTCTGTGCGTCATTGTGCATCGCCTTAATAGCTAAAGACATTAGAGAATGATTTCAATCAAAAAAGCTAACGCGCTGAAAAATGACGAATGCCTTAAGCTAACTAGATAAGTGCTCAATAAGTTTTTTTCCGCACATTAGGAAAGTAATTTGAAACTGGCGATGACATCATAGCTGTCACGAATTTTGACCGTTTACCATCAATGAACGTTGATTCCATTTCAAGCGCTGGTGCTCAAAAAAAAAACCCTCCTCTCTTTCAGACATAGACTCTTACATATGCATGGTAGTCCGCAGTACACACCACCTTTTGGGTCAAGTAATTCATGAAGTTTTCAAAACAATTAAAGAACTTCTATGTCGGTGTTGACAATGGCATTAGTCTGGAGATCTTTGTCATAGATGGCTACAAATCCTCAAACGAGCTTTGTTCAGTTTGAGAGAAAACTCGAGTTTTGTAGCTGTTCATGCATACAGCCAAATGGATGGCGATAGAAAAACGTTTATGAGGGTAGTTTGATACGCTTTTGGCATCATCTTTTCACAAACAATACCCTAATTGAAACAATAAAACTTCGATTTATTCGACTCCTTAAAAAAAGGATGATTGGGGCTTGCTACCTTCACTTTACGAGCAATAATAAGTCATCAATATTAGAAATAGGAGAACTCAGGGTCTATCAATCTAGATGAAGCAAGATTCTGCTGTTTAGTCGTCTTATCGAGTATTCCGTCTGCTGACTGTATGGCAGAATTTACGGGACTGAGTCTTGTAGTTTTAACTTCCGTTGGGTTCAAGACTAGCTGGCATTGTATTTTGCTGTTTCTTTTTCTTTTGTGTTACATCTTTGAGTGTATAGGTGAAGTAAAGTAAAGTAAAGTAAAGATCCCTTGCGCAAGTGATAGAGGAAATTTTGCGTACAAAAAACATCAATTAAGAGTTTCACTTTATTTCCGAGAAAGGTAAAATAAAAGGCCTCAACATGGTTTTTTACGCTATGTAGGACAAGACTCAAGCTTACATCTGAGTTTGATTCACTCGCATTTCTGAATTTTTTTTTATTTGCAGCATAGCGGTGGGAAATCTGATACGTCTTTGGGAATAGATTACATACTCGTATTACAAGACATGCAAAACAATCAGCATTAAAAGTTCAAGACTAACTTAGGAGATTTTTCCTCAAATGATTTATGTTTCTGTCGAGAATGAATGCTCAAATCTACTTTTATCCTTTTCGAATAATGTAGTAGCTTTGCAAGTATGCTATTCAAAATAGTAAAACCATTATTTCGACAAAATTGCTCAAAACTTGTTTCGGGTAATTTATTCTATAAAAATGACTACGTTTCTTATGATCGTTCTAGCAAAACGGAGCGACATATGACAGCGTCGTGACAGATTGAAGGACAGATATCAGAACAAGCGGAAGAGCATTAGCGAGCGATACATATAGAGCTAAATTTGGCAGATCCATGGCAGACACGTTTCGTCATGGGATGTTTTGAACAACATCTAGGACAAAAGACCGCATGGCCCATGGAAGCAGCATTACGTCAGGCATGTGAGACTGCCGCCATTGGGGGGCGCAAGAAGGGCGAAAGGCCGTCGGCAGAAAATTGGCTGAAGTGGACGAGGAAAAACAATCAAGCCCGGCGAAAACGACGATGAAGAGGGGAATCGACATCTCTTTGCGAGACAACGCTGCTGGTCGCTTATGAGGCTCATTTGGAAACGGCTCAAAATAGGGCGCTGGAAGGGAGCTTTGGAAGGGTCGGCTAGTCGGGAGCGAAAACAGGGCTGGTTCGAGAAATTTCTGGGCAGCTTTCAGCGCTAAGAAATGCTGGAACATGGCGAAACCTATTCATTTGATACCAGAGCTATGATATGAAGAAGACGACGTGGATGGAGAGCCAAAATGAAATAGAGAAGAGAGGAATCGATAGAGAGACAATGCCGGAATTGCCTCGCAATCGATGCGCAAATGCACGAGGAGCAGCTCCGAGCAGCCTGGACGGAAAAGAAGCGCTAGCTTCACTTAACTCGAGCTCTAGGGCATAAATTTCCCACGATGGCTTTCTTTTGGAGAGAAGAGTCAGATGCAGCCATGACAGAAAGAAAAATGTTCTTGAAGCAGCCAACGAGTTGCATTAATAATTTTTTTTGGCATTCGTGGTGTGCTGAAAGATGATTTATGGTAATTTAGAAAACTTTTTCTTCAACATTGGGATGCTCAATATTCGTCAAGAGCAGTGAAGTGGATTAGAATCTCTAGGAAGTAAGCTTAAAGAGCTGACGAAGGGAGAAATAGTAAATTGACATACAGTAGTTCTAGTGTTAATATCTCTTTGACAAACCAGCCGCAGTTCCAATTTTCAAAGTAAACGAGTAGATCACTAAACTGGGCTGAATATGCCTACTGTTACACAAAAGTGATTGTGCGACCCCATTTTAGAATTTCAAAAATTTGTAGCCCTTAACACAGAATACTGCCCAATCTATGTACTAAAATCTGCTAAGACAAATTTTGTCTGAAGTGGGGGTCAGAATTATTACATTCGACAATAGAAAACATTTCCATCTCTAGATTATTAATATGATGCAACATTCAAAGATATGCGCCTTGTTACATTTTTTCAATAAAATTCATTACGTTAAAATCTTCAAGGCTTCGTTCGACATCCTATATCAAAGCTCTTCCTCCGAAAAACCCAGCTCGCGCTCTCCAGCTAATTGATTTCCCAAGAAGATCACATTTTCCGCTGCATTTCAGGGTATCATAGCATCATCATTACTTATTGGCCTTTCGGAATCATTAAAATAAGAAAGAAATCCATGAAAGCAAAATGGGTTCTCTTGCAGTCAGCCTAAGCCAAATCCTAGGCCGCGGTTGAATTAATTTGGAAGTCTTGCAGAATAGCTGCAAAACGGAAATTTTCCGCCCATCATAAATTCCATAGCCTTAGTAATGGCTCAATAGATAGCTGCAGTGCCAGGTAATATCCGGAAAAAGCACTTATGCAGAAAGAGTGCAAATCTGCGTAGCAGCGAAGCAAAGAACTAGAAAATGAGTTCCCCAACTTGCCGTTTTCCAGACAAGAAAGGAAGTAAAAGTACAATTCTCTCTAGCCTGAGATTATTATTAGCTGCAAACTTCGTCTAGCTAGGCTTTCTGTAGAGCTGACTAAGGAATAACCAAGAAAAGAACGTCTTTTTGGATGGGGAGAAATTGACCAGTTCCTAGCCAAATTTCGCTTGGTTAGTAAGCAGATAAAGCAAGACTTTTGTGATTCTTTGCCAGTAAGATCATTTCTTTCTTAGCATATTTGAAGACCATCAACTCTTTGGACTCCTACATAAGCTGTGCTACGAATACACAGGATTACTTCTGAAAAGACACAGCAGGGCTGCTGAACTCAACCAGCAGTCTTGAAATGGAACAAGAAGGCAAAAGCATCGCCGTAAAATATGAGCTCGCTTCGTTTCGGACCCAAGCAAGATCCAAATCTGCATTTACTAAGGACCCCTCAACCTATGTATATGTACATATCATTCAACGGTCTGTAACAACATTTGACGGCTGAAACGAGCGTACTCTGGCTTGAAAGAGGCGATCGACTTGTCTTTTTGAAAAGTGTTGAGAAATTCTTATACCGGAAAAATATCAAGATTTCTTGACATGCTGTAAGCTGTCAATTCAAGTATTTTCTTCATTTTCATGGTGTAGGATGAATACAAAATGAAACATCTCACTGCTTCAAGTTGTTATCTATCTTAAGCTGTTAGTTCAATAAACTCGTTGATCTCGACCCATTTGTATTAGAAAATGTCTATTGTTTCTTTTTGTTTACTTTCCGTTTAGTTTTATAGCTTCAATGCTTTGCTTTGTGTTTTTGTTCTGAATTGTTGACCAAATATACTCCGATCCAGAAAAGTTTTCACTTATCGCATTGTAGCTAATCTTGACTTCTGCCCTTTCTACTCTTCTTTTTAAGTATATGAAAACTAATCGCCAAAGGAAAACATCCTATTGACAAATAAACTAGATCCAGATATGATTAAGCAAATCGCATAAGGCGCGCAATGTTTTCATCACTATCCCCCTACACTTTTTCACATCACAAGATGTCCAGTCTGCAGAAGTTGGGGGCAGATCCATAGAGAAGCAAATACCAATTGTAATAGCGAAAAAAGCTTTGTTTTTTTCCTTGAAATCTATAATTTAGCAAAAACGTTCATTTTCGCTACGGTACTTCACATTAACTGAGGGATCAGCGAACAAGCAGAAGATCGAGTTTGAATTGTTTTTCAAAGGGTAACCTTGAATCAATGGATTATTCTAGACTTTCCTAAGAAACACTGCTCTGTATATTTTTCATTGCCGAGGCATGGGTACATTTGGGGGAAGGGAGTTCTAAAAGGAAAAAAATTTATATCAGTGACTAGAAACTCACATGTCACTGGTGTTGGAAGTTCGTACTCGTCCGGCTTACTGTGGAGATGCTGCTCGCCGACACTGAAACGCTCAGGTCTTTTTAGTGTATTCGTTAAACCCTTTGAAATTTACGAATTTGAAGTTATGACCCTACAGCTCACAAAAGATAGCATGACTATTCCTTTTATAATCATTTCAATTTGCAGGAAACACGCTTACATGCACGGGTTTCTCAATTAAACTGAGCTACCATACTGTAACAATATCGACTTGGATATTGTTACATGAAAATTACTCAAAGCATCCAGAGAAGCCAGAAGAAGGAAAGCCCATGTTGTTTGGTGCTTTCTCAACTTCGTCCTTTTCCATAATTGGAAAATTCAATGAATAGTTCGTATGTATGAGCTAAAAATGTCCCTCGCTCATTCTCAAAGGGTCGACTTATTCCAGTAAATAACGTATTTTCGCGATGGAGCAGCCGCGTCCTTGTTTTTCATTACCGTTCTCGGAGCTCATGTGATTTGGCATTCAAATTGACAAGGGATCGAAATAGCATGATAAACGATATACAGGGTGTTCCAAAATGTGCAAACTGTTTGATCTCTCTCCGTTACTGCAGGATTGCAATAGGAATTTTGAGGAGGGTTCTTAGCCGTTACGAGTCGCATTTTGCCTCAGAAAGGGAGCCAAATGAGCCAGAACCTCTTATGCTGGGGTAATAGAGCAACTGATTTTGAATTGAAATCACACATCGCAGTCATGCTTCCTTCATAAGTTATTTCAAAAAAACCCAAAAGCTGCTTTTCCAACGCTTTTCGAAATTATACACCACCAAATTATCAAAAAGCTATGCACTGAAATCAGCATGATAGATAACCCTACTGCTCAATTTTCTAGATTTTTTTTTGAATTTTTCCATCGAACAATGGCGCTACATGTTGAAAGTTCCTACCGTAATCCTACACTAACAAAGAGGGATTTGAGACTCACTTCATACAGTGAATCTAAGTTGAACTCGCTCTACGGAATGGTACCACATCTTCGGCGAAAGGCATGAAAGCAAGGAAGTTGACAACGATCAAAAACAGTGTTCACATTTTTTGGGACACACTGCATGCTCATTCTCTGCTGTAGAATTCGGATGAGGTGCCAGAAAAGAATCGAGTAATGTAAGGATTGTAAACGGTTGTAAACTGGCATGTTGTTCAAAAGACCTTGGCACCATTTTATGTCACAAGTCATATGCAGTTGCTCACGACAATGGAATAGTAAATTCTGGCAGGATTGGGGGGATTTGCAGGTTTTGGCCATAACTTTTCATACAGAAGATATATTTTGGATTTGCAAGAAGATTTGGTCTGAGCTTGAGATGAATTTTTTTGGTCTTGTGACCTTGATACCGCATGCAAAACTTGCGAATACCGCGAGAGTAGTCATACTCCTCTGTTTCTTTTGAAAACGTACGTATTATCAGGTTGGCATAAATAAGTTAGTTTTGACAGGAAATTCAAACTCTATAACAATTACGTAACGGATAATCATCTAGTGTTTTTTGAGAGGAGGTAGCTTCAACCCACTACTTTTAAATCCCAGGTAGTCAAGATATCACAAAAAATGACAGTTATGCTCTTATATGGTCAGCGTCTGAAAGTCTGGAGAGTCTCTTTTCTTGCAGTTTTTATGTTTCGCTCGCACACTTAGCCTGTCTTGAGTGCATAGGTGAGTAAATTGGTGGTTGAATACATGCAGCGGCGAATCACAATGGAGATTGTGATCTGTTGTTTGTGAATTTAACAAATGTGGAAACCAAGCATTTACGATTGAAAGTCAAATTTTGGGCATTTCAGATCGCTCGAATTTGACCATCTATGACCATGCAAATGGTTAGAAATCTGAAAACTTATTGGCCCGTAGTAAACCTCGATCATCGGAGGTGACCTCCCCTGAAGCCCATAAGTAAGGTTTCGTCAGGTGAAATGGCGACCGCCCATTCCCCATGCTCTAATAATGCAACGTCACTTGACATGTGAGCCTCCGGTTAGGTTCGGCAGGGAGTTCACCTCCCTGCCGAGTAATCGGAGGTGAGCCGAGCGATGAACTCCCGAAATAGTGTGCTAAAGAGGAGATTTAGAGGAGATTTCCGTGAGTTACTCCTGAGTAACTTACAATACACCCCTTTTCTCCTAATAATGCAGACGGATTCACCGTAAAAATGCATATGATTTTACACGCACGGCCACATCTCTGCCGCCACAGATGTGAATGATTGGCGGACGCGTTTTGACTTGTGTACCTGCTTGAACGTGAAGCACTCAATCATATCAATGTGGATGGTTGGAATTACCAATCAATGGCTCAACTGAGGTAGAGCTGACTCGTCGAAGCCTCAAATGAGGTTCTTCTCAGTTGAGATCGACTGAGGCAGCTTTACTACGGGCCCAGGCTTCACATCGTTTGTCAGCGCATGATTTTTCAAAAATTTGAAAAAAAGACCATCTCCTTTCCTGCTCAGTTATTAGAAAAATAACTTCCAAAAAACAGAGTTACCCCACCGAATCTCAATTTGCTCTTTCCGAAAGTACCATATATGATATTCACATGAAAACTGTGACATTTCTACAAATTGCTAAAAAGACCGATCTACGTAATTTAATGATTGACAAGCCATGCCCTGCTTCATTGTCTGCAAGTCTGGGTGAAATTTAGAAAAAACTTAGTTCCATTACATTACTTTGAAAAAAATGATAGTTGTTTGAACCTATTTATGCAGAACTCTAGTCCTCTACCAAAACAACGAAGGTTGTGCCCAAATTACTGAATGATCAGAATCTATGTTAGTACCTATATTGTCTATGTTCAAGATAAATTGCCCTACGAATTCAAAAATGGCCCACAAATAATTCGACCTTCTAACAGACTGAAGGATACAACTCGTGAATACACTACATATTTTTGCGAAGTGCACTCGATATTTTTGATCTGTGTGGCTGCATATTTTTTCGAAAAGGGGAATAACATCGTCTTTCTTGTGTTTTTTTTTGTTTGTTTCAGCAAAGAGAGTTCCTTTACTTTATATACAGGATTTCCCAAAAAATGTGCTTACTGTTTGATGGTTAACATGTCCCTCGTCATGAAGACTTTCGAGGTGCTTGTACCATTGTGTAAAGCTGACTTCAAATTAGATTTACAGTATGGAGCGACTCACCGCCCGTTCCGGATTACCATAAAATTATGTTAAGAAGCGACATATGACTTCACATTGAAAAAGCTGCCATTTTGAATTTCAAAGAAAATCTGAAGTTATTTCCTCTCAAGGTCAAGGGCAAATTCTACAAATCGAGAAGTTCAGGATTACTTCGCTACTCCCTTGCTATTTTTTGATATTCTATCAGGATACTATTTCCAAAAAAGGTTGGTATCCATTGTTGAAAGGAGGAGACAAAAACTGTGGTCCTTATGACTTGCAAAAATTATCGGCGATTTTAGCATTACCAGAAAGATAGCCGAGAATCCTCAGATGGCTTTCCAGAACTCTAGAATACTATGCTATGAAACAAAACCATGTTTCGTGATGAGAGTGCTTGATTTTTACAAGGTTGCATTAAGGGAGCACATTGCTCACCTAATAAGAAGCAGCGGACCAAAAAAGCCAGCATAGGCTTGCAGTATCAATTTCAGCACCGACCATGTGATTTAAGCTGCAGAAAGACGAGAGGAAAAGGGACAAGAAGTAGGTAACTTTTATGCAAATCTGGGAAAAATCTGTATATGTGGATATGTATCCATTGGCGGAGAAGCTAATAAGCTAAAAACAAATTTCAACGTGCTTTACTTTCCTCCCTCTTACTGCAGTTTCCCCCCAAACATATACTGAAGCCTCGTGCGACCCCGAAAGGTACCCACATCTCACTTGACAAGGAAGATAGTGCGAAAATAGTGCGACACAGATTGAGATAGTGAGAACTTTTTTAAGTATGTGGCGTTAAACATTTTGAACTCATGATGGTGACCCGGACAAAGATGATAGTATTGATTCACAGCGAATGGCATGAAAAAGATTCTCGTGCAGAGAATTTTCTGAGTAACAAAAATCAATTCCTACTGATCAAACTGCACACCTAAATGCTGCTATGTCACCATTTTTCCAAAGATTTTCAGTGCCTGACAAAGACTGAAAATCGCTGACGTTTTGAATTACTGTATAAGCGAGCAGGCTCATTATGGCTATAAAGCAGTGGCGGTCCCAGGATTTCCGTCCGTGAGGGGGGGGGGGGGAGGTATAGCAAAAAAATTTTTTTGAATGAAGGTGCATGGCTTAGCCACTCCGAAAATTTTCAAAATTTTTGCGGGTCCCCAACCACTAAAATCTGAAAAAAGGGGAGTCGTCAGCCATTCCCCCGAAAAGAATTTTTCAAGAATAATTTGAATCTTTAAAAAATTTCAAAATTTATTATAATTGTTTACAAGAACGAACAAGTCACTTGCACATTTTTATAACCCACGCAAATAAATTTCAGAAATTTATTAATCGCGACCCATTCTCAGGGAGGGGGAACGCCCTCCCCCCCCCCCCACCCTCCCCTCGATCCGTCACTGCTATAAAGGTATTCATTTTCTCTCTCATTGCACCACCTTCCCCTTTCCTCCCCCTCTCTCCCCCGGGGAATGCGCCACGAAATCTTTAAAACTTACTCATGGGTCATAAATATGTATGTGCAAGTGACTTCTCCATACACGTAAATAATTGAAATAATTTCGAAATTCTTGAAAATTCAATTTAGCCTCACAAAAAAATTTCTCGGGGGAAGTGGTAGCTTGGCGCCACGCCGCCCAATTTCTAAAATTTTCGGGGTTATGGGCCCGCGAAAAAAGTGGAAAGCATACCAAAATTTTGCAATGCACAGCTAACGCCACACACCTCCATAGAAAGAATATTTGTTGCTTGCCCCCCCCCCCCCCCTCGCGACGGAAATCATAGTGGACCACAGCTCAGCAGTAATGGTAAACATAGAACAGTTTTCGTTACCTTTGATTTCCTTTCTTTGAATCCGATTATTTTTACATTTATCTAGTATGCTGGCATATTCTGAATGGAGTTACTAAAAAACCTACACTGGCAGGTTGCCAAGATCGCGAGGCACAGCCATTGACGGACAGCATTGGGCTTCTCGTGGTGAAGCATTTCCTGGCAAATTCTCGATTGGGATTTCTTGAAGAGCATAGCCGTGTAACGAAATCGATGCCGGTATTTCGTCTGAAAAATCCAGGTATAGTATTGGAAGTAGATATGGAGAGAGAGAAATGGTGAGTGCAAGGTTGAGGGGGGGGGGGCTACAAAAACCGGGAGTGTTTGTATATCAGTGTGATTCCGAAGGTTTGCACCGTTATTCGGTCCCAAGAGAAATTACGGTAGAGAAACAATAATGAGCCTATGTATGTGCCCAAAATGATTATTTTTTTCCATTTAGTTGATTGCCAAAGTTCCGCACCCATTTTGTTTAGTTCAACTTTAGTTAGTTTTCAAGGTCTCGATCTAAAGAGGTTTGATAGTATGGGGAGAAGCAAGCGCTTTGCAATGCGATATCATCGTTTCTCCAACTCAGCAAGATTAAAAGGTGCTTATATCAATACAATACAACCAATTTAAAGAGCCATTCGTTTAAAAAGCAAAGTGGTTGATAACCAGAAGTAGACATGAAATCTCGATGCGGTTTTTTCTTTTCCTTGTGAAGTGTACATTTTTTTGCAGTTTCATAAATTTTGCTGGTACAATATTCATATTTGTCATTTCCACAACGGCACATGCTGGTACGCAAACTTTCAGTTTGATATTTCGAAGCAAGCACTCATATATAATACTTTGTAAAATATTAGGTCGTCCAGTAAGTTTTGTCGTTTCACTCTTAAAAATATGTAATTTTTTGTCGTCTTGACGGATTTGCTTTCGCGCAATTTTTCTAGAAAGAGAAATTCTTTCTCTTTGTAAAAGTATCTTGAAGATTGTTATTCACTGTTTGGGGATATAAAAATGGAAAAAGAGGAGCGTTTAGACTCTAGTCATTTTGAGTTAAGTCACAAAAAATCTGGAACATTGTAGAAGAATCTGAAATCGCTACACATAAGTTTTATTACCTGCTCTTTGCAAGAGAGGAAAGTTTGTGCTGTTTGAACGTCTCCGTAAAAAGTTATGTTCTTCGATAAAAGTGAGAAGTCAATCAATTTTGGCGTTTTCTACGGTAAACTCGAAATTCATAACTTTTCGGAGAACCGTTCAAACAGCACAAACTTTATTCGGTTGCAAAGCGCAAATTGTAAAACCCATGTACTGACGACTTCAGACTTCTCTACAACGTTCCCAATTTTTGGCGACCTAAGCCAAATTGATTAAAGCCTGAAAAATCTTCTTTTTCCGATTTTATCTCCGAAATGAATGAAGCTCATCAAGATGCTCTCACAAAGAAGAAGACTTTCTCTTTCTAGGAAAATTACGCAGAAGCAAATCTGTCAAGACAGCGAAAAGTTTTTTTGAAAATGAAACGAGAGAACGTTTGGGGCAACTTAATAATGATGAAAGAGTTCGGAAATCCATTCTGAAGATATTCTGTGCTTAGCGGACTTCTGCATCGATTTTCAGATTATCCGAGGATAGTCGATAGTATAAGGAGGTGGGAATCCAAACATTTTGCAGTGCAATTTCTTTATTCGCCCTTTACCAGGATAAACTTTCGGATCTTTCCCACAGCTCTTCACTTTCGACCAAACTGAGTGACGCAAAATTGCACCAACGCCACTATCAAACTTTCGGAGAGTGATCATCAAACACTCTTACAAAGTAATAGCACCAACAGCCCCAAATCACCAAAATTCCGAAATTTCGGGTACAGGCATGTGCACGTATGAAAATGACATCCATGAATTGCAAATAAAATGCAAGTTTTAAGCGAGGAAAAAAAGTGCTTCAATACCTGAACTCTGGGGCTTAATGACAGTGACATGTTATTTCGAAATCTGAAGAATTAGTCAGAGACAAACAAAGAACTATATTACAAAATGCCTACTCACTTCCCGTATTAGCACATTCGCTTTCGTAAGCTCAAAATGAGAATTTTCACATTTTTTGACAATGGTTTGGAACTCGAACGATTTTTTCAGTAAAGACGAGATGAGTCAGTCTGCCAATATATCGGCTGGAAGGAGTAAAGTAAACTTGTTGAATTTTTTTTCAGACTGATTGTTTGATACTATACTTCATGAGTTGTGAATGGCCTTAGAAACTGCAGAAAATTTCGGAATAGCTTAATATTCGTTCATTTGAAAAGCAAAAGAAGAAAAATTGTCACTGATTTCTTAAGCAACTTCAAGTTAATTGAGTGATTCCTGAAAGATGAAGATTAGCAGATAATCCAGACTAATGATTCAAGTAATTTCCAGGATTGTCGTTATACATGGAGCGCAGAAACCTCCACCTCTTACAATTGCACTTATCACTATTCTCTCATCCTGCTTCCAGGTAGATTTTTTATATAAGGAAATTAAAGGTTTTTATGTTGATGTGCCTTGTAGGATAGGACTAGACAGAAAATGCGCAAAATGTCAACTTAAAAGGTCGTCAAGACCACCATCATTGTGAGTTTGTGCGCTCCATGGATAACGACAACTGGAAGTGGAGGAAAATGGGAGTTTAAATGATCGAGGAGGTGCAGGAATCACAGGTATATTAAGCCCGAATCGCTAACGCTAACTGTCTTGTACAGAGAATAGTAATGGTGATTACTTACTTGGATAAGGATGAGCGTCAGGCCTCTTGGGTAATCGTCGTCGTTCCCGCTTCAGTTCCTCGGTGGTGTACGAACGACGCATATTATCATAACATTCAGGTTCTACTCGGAAGCTCGACTGACTCTCGCAGCGGTCGAACGGAGCTCTATGCGCATCGGCTCGATTCTGCAGATGAATGCTGCTTCCTCGGTCAATCCACGCAGACCTAGTGATCAGATCCCGCCTAGAAGAAGTGAGGGTGAAAGGGTGGTTAAGCACCCTCGAAATGAAATTACGCGCACCTCTCGGTCTCATCGAGTCGTGGTCGAGTGCAGCCGTCATGTTCGCAAGGAGTGAATCGAAGCTGTGCGTGCACGGATCGGCTTTCCCTCATCGGGTTCGGCTGGGTGTTACCGGAGCCGAAGTTGGCGCCAACTTGGGACGAGTGCGACCGAGGCATCACGGCCACGGTATCGTTAGCCGTCCAGCCAGTTCGCATCGAACGTCGCATCATGTCCTCTTCCGGCCAAACCTGAAGAGACAAACTGCATTAGCGTATGGGCCCTAAAAAGTGCCTTCGATACCTCTTGCTGCGGCCATGGGTCCTGCTGCGGTGAGTCATCGTCAGAAGTGGAATTATCGACAAAGGTGGAAAACTCCGGACGCGGTCTCAGTTGCATGGAACGCGACCCAGTAATACGAGCTGCTGAAAAGAGGGTTCTCCGAGCGGGGGAAAAATCTCAACGGCTCAGACATAAAAAGACAAACGTTAACGCAATAAGCGCTGTGGCTAAATTCAATTTCGAGCTGAGTGCGGAAATCTACATATGCTTGAGCAAAAGTGCAACGGTGTGAATATACGCTTTTGCAAAATTTCCCAAGAAACACTATCGCCCTAGAATGGCGCACTAAAATCGCATTTCCTTCGCTACTTTCCTGCAACGAAGGCAAAAAAAGAGAAGAAAGCGAGTTGCAAACTCCCCTCTCCTTTCTTCCAAATAACCAATATGAAGGTTGTTCAAAACATGAAATGGGGCACTTTTCTACCCTCTTCATTCGAGCTAAACTCCACTGATAATGAAAGGGGAGTGTGGCCCTACCGTAACCAGCAAATAATGAAAATAGACAAGAGAAAGTGTGTCATCGCCTGTGCTAATAAGCAAGCTATGGCACGCTAGAGAGTGCTTTGGCACTGAGAAAAACCATCTTAAGAATAGAAAATGAGCAAAAGGTCGTCAATGCATTTTCTTAAGGCTTCAATGGCCACCAAGAAAAATCTCTGGTGGCTCCCCAAGCGAGAAAGCAAACAAGCAATGCTCAGCGCATTCGATTACATAACATGAAGACAAAATAACTAGCATATAGAATGAGAAATAAATATTTACGTTTTTCTTGACAAGGAGAAAGTGAACTTGAGCACATGACATTTCTTGGAGTTTTTCTTTCTCTGAATTTTTACCTTGATATGTTGTGGAAGTTTTGACTTGTATTCCTTCTTGCACTCTCCTCTTTTCCTCCCCCCCCCCCTCCTCTCTGTCACCAAAGGCTCTGATCAAAAGACAAAACTGAGTATCTGAGTTTCTTATGCAGAACTGACTGAAAGGCAAAAACTGAGCTACTGCCTAGCCAGCAGCTCAAGGAATTCATTCCGCCAAGAAACTTTAAACTTCAGCCCAGACCGTATCTCAAAGTAATCGAGGACGCTCATTGGTCCGCTCGAATGTACGGTCTAGATTGGACATTGAAGCCAAAAACAGATCACAACGATTCATATAAGCTGCCGCCTGGGCAATAATTTAGCTCAGAATTCCCCATTCTGTCATAAGAAAACCATATCAAATATGCCCGGACATTGCTTCCAAAATTTTCTTCTTGTTTCTCTATAATTCAAGCATCATGAGCAGCCGTACCATATAACTTTTGGAATTATCTTCCCCAGAAGTCATGGGACTGCAAGAAGTAAGCTCACAATCAGCTATACGATCGCCATAAGGGCAGTTTTTAGACCTACTAGGGCAACTGATTTGCCGCTTGAGTTTTATAGGGGCATTCATCTCATCTAAAATCTGTCTGCCGCGTATATCCCGTTCGTCAATCACTTGAGCAGTAATCTTTCACTTCCGCACACTATAATTCTACGTGTTCACATTCTTCTCCGTAGCAAGGCTTGGGTAAAAAAAAAGACCGGAAACGTTCTGCAGTAGAAATGGTGAGTTTTCCTTTTGCAGTTGCAAAAAAGGAAATGCTCGACACAGATGTTGCCGTTTACGGGTGTGATATTGAGCTAAAGATATCAGTTTTGAAAAATTTCTAAAAGAATCTTGAATTATTGAAGTTTTTTCGAGTTACCCTTACCGGAAATCTAGAAATTATGCTTTTTTCTAGAAGTATGCAACATAATGATATCGTAACCTTGGTACGATTGGATGGATGGGGAAGAAGAGGGGGGGGGGGGGAGGGGGAGTAAAGAAGAGATAAAAGGAGAGAAAGCCCTGTGAATCGAATAAAAGATAAGTAGTGGATATCTGACCAAAGTATTGCGCATAATTTCGGCTAATTGAAGTTTCCTACTATCAACATTATTTTGGATTAATCATAGGTGTGCAAAATTGCGTAAAATTCTGAGTTTGGCTAAAGATTCAAAGACTTACCACGATGCTGAGGTTTTCCAAGCACTGGCGAAAGCGGTCTAGGTGGTGATGGACTAGCAGCGGACGTATCGCTGCTAGATGGAAGCCGAATGGAGCACAGCGAAGGTACTGAAGTGAGAAAAAACTGAACAAGTGAGAAATTGTTGGCAGCCTAAGTGAACGGAAAAACTCGGTGGGGAAATCGATGAAGAGCGAGAAGAAAATTTCATCAAAAGTGGGTAGAATAGGGGGGAGACGAGGTGAGAAGATGGAATTTATAAAAGGCGGAAGTGCGCGGAAGCTGCGAGTAGTCGTCGATGCTGGTTGGTGAGGGGGGCTGTAACATAAAACCGCGAGCACAACGCGATTAATTACTGACATGACGTAAAAAAAGATGGATAAGGCCGGAAATAGGCTTGCGCGCATGATATTTGCCACAGCGGGAGAGGATTAGTCGAAGATTGGGAAGAGAGCAGGGAGAGAGGGATCTCATGATGTGGAAGCAACATGTGTAAAAAGGATGCGTCTACTTCGAAATCGAAAAATCATTCCAGTCACATGGGTACCCAAACCTCTAGAGGAACCCTTGATTGGGAGGCTCTCGCCAAGCCATTGCCCAAGTGGTAGCTTATCTCACATGCAGCCAAGAAATGAAGCTTCAATTTTTTCGGGTGTGAACTCCTAATAAAATGAAAAACTTTCATCCTATTCCTTACGCTTTTGTTACTCCTGAATAAATGGACAAGATTGTGGCAATGACGGGATTTTTTGGCAATAAAATCTATCTAATTTTTATTATTTTTTGATTTGAGCTTTTTGATTTTTTATGTCTTTCATACTATGTGGTCCCGCAAACAAATCGAGATATTTTTGAACAACAGTGTTCTCTACATTGTTAATTACGGAATTTAGGCAAACCATCCAGCAAACACGGGGGGAGGAGGGGGGGGGGGGGAAGAGTGGGAAATTGGTTGACAAATTTTGCTATTCATTTGTGAACGCCTCAGCCCGCTTCAACCTATCAAGAGGACCAATCAACGCCTTGGATTACGGTAGAAAGTACGGTATGGGGCGCATACAAAATTGAATTTCTCGGCTGCAACTGAATCATATGAGCTGAAACTTGTACTGGCTTAGTTGAGGCCACCTAACCAGTGTATAAGAAATCTAGGTTCAGGTTTACCTAGACAATGTTATTAGAGACTTCTCACAGAGGTTGCTGTAACAACCGGTAAAGCAAAAAAAAAAGAGAGCAAAAGAAAAAGGAAGCATTGACCCGCCAAAGAAGGAGGTTACTACCCTTTGCAACAGCTCGTGCGTCATTCTTGACGGCTTTATGAATTTGAGGCGAATGAGATGGATTCAAAAGACCACAACGACAATGTCCCCGGGGACCATGGCATGACGGGGAAATAGAGACTGAAGCAAACGCGCACTTATACTCTCGCCTCAGCCAAACTAATCGCTCGTCTCGCACTCAGAGCCGCCGGGGCAATTCAGTTAGCGAACCTATGTGATGAAAAACAGCGTCTGTAATCGGGGGGATAAAGTGGGAAGAGCCGTACCTTGGTGAGCGGTGTCAATTACCGGGTAGCTGCCCGAAAATGCCGTGGATTCATGGCTGCCGACGTCGATTTCACAGCACGAACAAGCTCTTTGCGGTGGTTCTCGTTCGGCTCCGATCGGCTCATCTTCGCTGTCCTCATCAGCATTAAGACATTCTGGTGCCGACCAGCATTCCGAACGCTCTGAAAGCTTTTAGTGGTTGACTGTCACATCGAATTCTCATTTTTGCGCTGCCCGATGTCAACCAAGAATCACCGGGTTCTGCGAGCTATTCGGTGGATAATTGTCTTTGTGGCTTTCAGCTCAGAACATCTATTTTCCCACAGAGAACTTTTGCGCTCAATTTTTACACAGAGGAAAATAGTGCAGCATCAAAGATGTAACTAAAATGCATTTTCCCAAGATTCTGGTAATCTAAAATGCATAGCTGTTTCGAGAAAGCTCTTTCATTAAAAGTGTATGAGACATGTAATGGAACAAAACTTTCGAGAAACAGCAATTTGAACGCTTCATTATCGAAGAAAGTTTTTTGCACATTTTTGCAAAGTTTGACTTCAAAAATGCATTACACTATGTTCTTTCAAAATACTTCTAAAATTATAGAAAAACCAGATCAAGAATTGAGACTGTGTCGTGATGAATGCGCCATTTCAATATTTATATTTTCCTTATTATTCTTAGATCACATTATTCTTTCGATTATTGTTATACTAATTCGCAGCTTTTGAAGCTAAACATGATTTTTACCACCGCTTCGTCGAGATATATGTATGAACAAAAGAATTCACTGCAATTTTTTTCCTGACGCTACGTCCAGAGTTGCCTGTGCGCCACTGCTGTGCCAGCGCCGTTCCAAAGCACAAATGCAAACGCGCTTTTATCGATCGATGTTATGGCACGCGCTGAAACGGTGTGGCTGGCGCCAGCACGGGCACAACTCTGGCGTATTTCGGGAAAGATTTCGTGGAAAGCCAGTATTACGAAATTCTGCTTACCTAAAGGAGAAACTGGAACGGATACTTCGTCTACATAAATGTTGGGAGGACTAGACCAACAGGACGACTTTCTTCCCGGAGAAGGATCCTGAATGGAAGAAAATTAAGCATACTATTTCCACCACCAACATCCTGTGCTAATGATTCGCAGGGACCTTCTGAGGTTTTGATGAAGCTTCTGCATCACGTTTGGTGGAGCTCACCCGAGTCATTACTGGTGAAACAGGATCCGGCTCTGGCCATTTGATGTCCAAATCGGGAGTGAAATTCGCAACCGGAGCTTCATCGTCGGTCGTTGATTCCCACATTTTAGAAATGTTAATCTGCAAAGTGGAAGTGATGCATCAATAATGTAAAGTATTTACTCAGACAAATCACCGGAACTTCCGCGGAACAAGTCAAATTTGCAGAAGTTCCGCAGAATTTTGTTCACCATTGCAAAAATGAAAACTTGGAAATCGGAACTTCCGCGGGATTTTCATGCCAAACTGCTTAAAAACCGGAACTTCCGCAGAACCTTTTTCAAAACCTTGCGGAAATTCTGAAGAATGCCAGAGGTTTCGCAGCACTTTGGCCTGCCAGAACTTCCGCAGAACTTTGAATATGTTGTATAAATATCTAGCTAAGAATTTATTGAAAAATGAAGTAGGGTCAATATAACGAAATAATGATTGGCGTAAAAGTCCTAATCATCATTATTAAGAAATAGCTTGGAATTCTTACCATGTAGCCTGGAATCCCCATTTTTGACCAATTCATAAAAAACCACAAAATCTTATATCTAGTTGCTTTTAGCTCTATTGCAGGATGTGCGGAAGCGCATACTTTTTGAGGAATCCGGAACCCTCATTTTTACTTAGAAAAAGATCAACATTCACTCCATAAAAAGGCTTGAGCGAGTTGACAAATATCAATGCATGTCTATTCCCTTCCCCCCCCCCCCCCCACCCTCAAATTCACGTTCGCCCCCTCTTCCGTCTAGGAAAGGACCTTTAGCAGCCTACGCAATAAGTTTGGCTGGGAAATTAGATAGAATCTGAAAAAAGGGCCCTGGCGATATGAAAGTGCAGCGAATCGAATAGAAATTGAGAAAAGCGCAGAGCTCAGAGAGACATGCATGGCATATGAGCATTGCATGACACAAACTGCACTATGAATGAGCAATCTTTCACTCGTCTACTTCATGTGAGAGCTTTCGAGCATATGCTTTGTTTTGTTCGCTTTAAGCATGGGAAATTTATAAGAAATGAAAATGGAGATTTGTTCTAACCAAAAATATGAACTGCAGCCTTGATGGTCTGCAACTGCTTAGAACGTTACAGCTTCTCTTCGTTATCATTTCAAAATTTTTGGAAAAAGGGATTACCGTAATCGGCTTTCAAAGTAAATTGCCCTCCACAATTCTTTTAGAGTTCCTTGCGATTATTTTTTAAAGATTCTTACGTTTGTAGGTGTCACGTTTGAACTCGCAGCTTTGATTAGATTTTCCACAGTAACCACGCTTTAAAATTCAAATACGACATTACCAAATTTGAGCAGTCTGTTACCTTCTCTGCACCTCTTACAAGGGAAGAATACTTGGTCGAAGTGGCATTGCCATATGAAATGTTTACTATCTTTTGGAGCATGGAAAGCTGTTTTCAAATCTGCTTTCGTTATCTGCAAAGTGCTTCTGAAAAGGAAGTTATAAGATTTTTTGATGCAAAAATTGGAACTCGCCGCTACAATGAAATCATTCAGAACTGTAATCCATAGACTCAAATTGGCCCCTGATTTTTCCAGGACGCTTTATGCAATAAGTACATCCACTCTAGTAAAAATGCCAGTCTTTTCTCCTTACAAGCGCTGGAAAGACCTCAACACTTGTTTTTACCCTAACCAACCCCTTAGAGTTTCGCATCAAACAATTTTCACAACTCCACTCTCAGAAGGGTTTTGCAGATAGCGAAAGCAGATTTGGAATCAGCGTCCCATACTCTATAAAACTGTATACATTCAATATGGAAACCCCACTTCGACCAAGTATCCTTCCCTTGTTAGACATATTTTACGGTTATGAACGCATAATATCAGGTCAGCATTGTACGTATTCTTTCGGTCATTTGCTGATTTGAGCAAGAGCATTTGCAAAACTTCAAGGACTCCAGATAAAGTTTAGTATGCGAAACAATAGAGAAAGTTCTTTTTGGCTCATAATAGGGCCTTCGAGAGGCTGAGTTGAAAGGATCTCAGTTAGATGTCCATCAAGAAGGTTAGACCTCAAATGAACACATTGAAAAAATAAGATAGCGGTTCGCAGTGTGATGAGAGCACGGCACTGAGATTTTTGGAGAGAGGGAATCAGGAAAAGATGGTGGGATGAAAAGGCTGTTCTTGTCTGAAATACTTGTGTCATTTCTAGCATACCATCACTTCCTAGCAAGTCATCAGAATCAGTCTGTCATAAAAAGTAAGCTTGGTGTTGGATTGTGATTCTAATCCTCCATACATTTTTTCTTTCGAAGGTCATATTTTTGGATATTCGACTTTGTAGGCTTTACTGAACAGAAATTCAGTGCATCATTGAGGAAAATTTCTGAAAGGGATCTCGGCTTTGAGCTGTTCAAAGAAATGGCCAGACATACTCTGGAAAGCGTGCATTTATGCAGGATGAATGCTCGTTTATTGAAAAGCTGGAATTAGCTGCTGCCAAGTTTTTCCAAAATATTTGTCAATTGTAGTCTGAGTGTAGTCTCGATACAAAGCTTATGCAGAAAAAAAAAGCTGTAATACAGACTTTATTCTTTGATATTCTAAACTTGCAATGATTAACTTGAAGCCTAGTTATTCTTAGCTCCATTTTCCCAGAGTCATTCATTTTTTTACTGACTCCGAGAGAGTTAGATGGCGTTTCGGGTTGATTGTAAGAGCGATGGAAGAGACTAGCAGAGGAAAAATGATTGGCTTTCGATATGCTATTTCACAGACATTCCTCATTCACCCTCACCATGAGAGCAATTTACAAAAAAAGTCGTTGCGTCTGACATTCGTCTGATATTATGGAGGACGATGGTAGGTAAAATTTAGAAAATTGCCATGGAGGACGGGTGGGGGGGGGGGAGGGGAGGATAAAACATTAGGAGCCACACTCGCTGCATTGTGTGTAAGTAAAGTAAGTGTAAATACTAGTAATCTTTTCAAACATTATTGACAAATCAAGTTTTTGGAAGATTGTGGGATAGAAGCCGAAAAAACAACTTTAAGATTCCGTGAAATCATTTTTGTCAATTTCATCGGACTTCCACGGTGTCCAATGAGCAGATGATAATCAGAAGATTTTTATAGTCACTCAAGATACTTATGAGAGTGTCATAAAGAAGATTCCTGTACCTTTGGCCCATTTTAAAAACTACAAAAAAACTAAACATTTGAAAAAAAACCTATAGTTTTTGAAACTTTCGAAAGACATGTACGTGTCATCTTTACTAGCCTTTATTTTGATGAGTCCGAAAATGGCTAAAGGTATTCATAGGGGATGTTATGACGTTTGCCAAAGTTACATCTATGACGCTATTTTATAGGGTCTAGACCGATTATGTAGATGAGAATTGAGAAATAATGAAAATTTTAAGGAGACGTATGAGAAGTTTCAACATTACAAGCCGAATGTCAAGCTGTCAAGGAAATGAAGAAGTTTTCCGCTTAAATGAGCAAATTTACCGCAATTTGACTTCAATTTCTTCGAAAAACGATGTGGGAGTCTCAAAGTTTTGAGAGATTCAAAAATAATACCTTACATGGACTTGGAGCTTGACTTTAAACCCGTTTTACGTTACAAAAAAATTTCGACTTCAAGTTTTTCACACGGTTGTAGAGTTATACATTTATTCTTATATTCTTGTAAACTCCAAAATCTCTCTATATAATATTTAATATGCTGTAATTACCTCGTTAAATTTTTCTTTTATTTTTAGCGAAATTTTGGAATCTCTTTTGCATAATAACTAATACGTTTTAAAGCTTTGAGATATGACTACTGCACAAACGTACCTCAAAAGCCGTTTTGCTCGTTTTCAGTCGTGGCATATTTTTCGGCATCGAATATGCGGACTTTGATTTGATAAGACTGCGAAGAATCGGATGAACAAGGAATTCAGCGTCACTGAATCGAAAAGAAATTGCTATACAACAATCGAGGTCTCCTCGAATGCTTGCTGAGCTTTTTGCTCAAGCCAGATTTCGCTTATGAATGTCCAGAAAGAGCAAACCTGTCCTCTTCACTGTCTTCTGAATCGCTGCTCGCACGCAACATGGCTGACGATGGCTACAAAAAAATCAGCATTCCATAACGTTTTCATATAAATCATGCTCGTATACGTCTGTCAGAGTCAAGCATTACTTAAGTCAAATAACAAGTCGTTGGCTATGACTTATTCGGGTTATTTATTGGGCATTGTCGAAAAGGGTTTAAGGATTAAGAGTGATATTTCTACTAAGAGGGCTGCAAACCTACAAACCTTCAGAAAACTTGCCTTCATACTCCGTCTTTGATAAGAATGCAAAGGTATCCGCAGAAATCTGTCCACTCTGGGATAAAGTTATATTCACCTCTATCAGAACCCTATAATTTTGCCTGTGCTGGGTACCATACCGACTACAAAAGTAGGGTCATTTCAAAACCCACAAGCGAAAACTATATGATTTGATCTAAGTTCTGATTTAATGGGTCTTATAAATCTTTTTTTCTGTCAAAGAAAACATAAATTAATGATTAATGGCATGACATGGTTCTATGGTGCACCTCTTTTCTTCTCAGAAACTTTACTGGTAAAACCTAGCCCCGCTTTCTACGATTGCTTCCCCATCATAAGGAATTATCTCTTCAACTTGAAGGCCAACCAATAATCTTGTCGAACTCCCAAGCACTGGGTGGATTTTTCTATCCAGACATATCGAAAAAGAGCTTGATTGCATAGGAAGAACGGCCTACCCTTTCGTGCAAAACATATGATTCCTGACATGCTTCGTAACGCTTCGGTGAATACATGAGCCACGCTGGAATGCTTTCTGAAATTATAACTGCAGTGGTGCAAAATGGCGCATAAGAAAAACGTACGCAAAAAAAGCAATTTGGGAGCAAGGTATGAGGACGTTTGAACTTGGAAATTGTCACGGCTATGTTCGTTATCTGATTCTTGAAAATTCTCAAAGCTAAAAACCTTTCAAATTTAAAGGGACCAGACTTTACGCTATTTAGGCTAATTGAGTCATAGCTAATAGATGAGCTAGTCCACCCTCAAATATAATGAAAGGAGGATCCCTTCGTCCGCAAATGCTCTAAATGAAGCTTTGGAAACCATTCATTTCAGCAAACATTACGAACGATATCAGATGTGCTGTACTCTTAGTACTCAAAGGAAGTCGGCAACTTAGATCGCGTTTGAAGTGAGACATACACAAACAAATATTTGGAACCAGCTCTGAACGCTGATTGCAGATATGCTGTGCATAGCTGCTACGTTAGTTTGAAGAGAGTTATAAGCTTTTTTGTGCGAAATTGGCATACTATTCAACATGGAAAAGCTGCCTGCAGATGGAAATTTGCGTAGAAACGTTGCTGGGAAACTAATATAATATTAGATTGAGTCTTTTGTCATTGACAACAAACTCAACGCGGTAAATTAGCACTTAGATAATGATACGGTAATGTCAGTAGATCAAAAAGCTTGCAAATTTTGCGCAGAAAAAAATTAATGACTCGCTTCAGAATGATGTGCCACAGCTAGGAATAACATACTTAGAATTAGCGTCTAAAGCTAATTCTAAATATATATATAAATGTTTTAAATAAATAACCAATCTGAGTTAAATGCCCTCCTTACTTAGTCACACTGATATTATGAATTTATACTTTTTTCAGCAGTTTCACAGCTCAGCCTTTTAGTTTTTGCTCATTTATGAGTGCAATTGCACTGTGTGTGTAATACGTAACGCAATTCTATGAAAATGATTGGGCAGAACACATAGTTCGTGAGATAAGAGTGACGATCTGAGGTGAAAATATGTGTCTACAACGAGTGCCTGTAAACCTAGCAGAATCTACTCATGAAGTAATTTCTCAAAACATCAATTTTACGCCATTTTGTGGATCTACGTGCCGACATGTGCATGATGTTTTACCACAATCACAGAAAAAGGAATGAGTAACGACAAGAAGAATCTCCTAGGAGGCCCGTATCCATGGGATTATGGAATGAGATTAGCTCTTTGTGTCGGCTTGTCCTGCTTAGATAATAGTGATTTTACTAAGAAAAAACCATATCACTTAGAGACTAAGGCCTGAAAATCCCGTAGAGCTCGCTTACGTCTGCTAACAAAGACATGCATTATCTTATATATAAAGCTGAATGTCTGTCTGTATGTCTGTATGTATGTCTGTACGTATGTGCGGAATAGAAATTTTTATTTCTGAACCGATCGGGACCAAACTTGGCACACATATACTTCGGGGCAGGGAGCGTGTCATAGGCTACTTTTCGTTATCGATCGATATCGATTTTATCGATTTTTATCGATTTTTTTGCTGAGTTCACCTACGGGGCCGGGAGTTGGCACAGGGGGGTAATCGAGCATGGGGATTCCGAATACAATATTGGTTTTCAGGATTATCGATTACTTTTATCGATTTTATCGATTTTTTTGCAAAGTTTGAGCTACGGGGCTGGGAGTTGGCACAGGGGGGTAATCGAGCATGGGGATTCCGAATACAATATTGGTTTTCAGGATTATCGATTACTTTTATCGATTTTATCGATTTTTTTGCAAAGTTTGAGCTACGGGGCTGGGAGTTCGCACAGGGGGGTAATCGAGCATGGGGATTCCGAATACAATATTGGTTTTCGGGATTATCGATTACTTTTATCGATTTTATCGATTTTTTTGCAAAGTTTGAGCTAGGGGGCTGGGAGTTGGCACAGGGGGGGGTAATCGAGCATGCTGATCACCCCCAAGGGGGGTGATCAGCATGCTCGATTACACCCCTGTGCCAAATTCCAGCCCCCTAGCTCAAATTTTCAAAAAATCGATAAATTCGATAAAAGTAATGGACGATCCTGAAAACTAATATTGTATTCGTAATCTGCATGCTCGATTACCCCCCTGTGCAAACTCCCAGCCCCGCAGGTCAAACTTTACAAAAAAAATCGATAAAATCGATAAAGGTAATGGACGATCCTGAAAACTAATATTGTGTTCGTAATCTGCATGCTCGATTACCCTCCTGTGCAAACTCCCAGCCCCGCAGGTCAAACTTTACAAAAAAATCGATAAAATCAATAAAAGTAATCGATAATTCTGAAAACTAATATTGTATTCGGAATCCCCATGCTCACTTCCCCCCCTGTGCCAACTCCTAGCCCTGTAGGTGAACTCTGCAAAAAAAATCGATAAAAATCGGTAAAATCGACATCGATCGATAACGAAAAGTGGAGTATGACACGCTCCCTGCCCCGAAGTGTATGTGTGCAAAGTTTGGCCCCGTGCGAAGCCGGGTACGCCAGCTAGTCGGGATATAAAAACTCATTTTCGTAGAACAACACCAGTCACGCGATTTTCTCACTGCCTTCAGGCATGAAAAGGAGGTGTCAACATAGGAGCGAATAAATATCCAAGACGGGTTCTAACAATTTTAGGCTTCAAATTGAAGCCTAGACTTGTTGACGCAGATACTTGTGGGATTCTCCCGCAGATAAGGAACGAGATAACGCTTTATGGATATTCAGAATGTTTTATTTAACTTTTTATTTTCTAAGTGTCGAGAAAAGTGACAAGTATGAGGAAATAGAGTATGATTATGAGCAGAAATTGGAATTGCGCCATATAAAATGTAAGTAGATCGACTCTCAGACCTGAGACTTTCCTGTGATGCTAAATATGTAGAAACAAAGAGAGGAGTATATATTCATGTGAGAAAGCAGAAAGTAAAGTGCTAAGTGTGGCAAAAGAGGGATCTCTAGTGACGGAAATGAGTGTGCTCCAGATCCTCCCAAGTCCGCCGTGGCAAAAAAGAAATTGCCATGGAAATTAATCCGCTTGTTTACACCACTTTCCATGATTGAGCATACCAGCACGACAGCACGTCACAGCGAAAAAACCTCATATCCCATTTATATGACAAATCACGGAAGTTCTTATTTCCTTATTTTTTTTTGATTCTTGGTCTAGCTATAAGGCAGGAGCAAATCACTGCAAATGGCATGCGAAAACATCTATCCAAGTCCTTATCGTCACCATTAACGATGACGATATGGTCCTAACAAGTGGAATTAGAATTGTGTTTTTAGGAAGAGAGATGTAAGAATATCACGAACAATTTACGTTAATAAGGTAGCTTTCAATAAACTTATTTGTTTTTTTGGCACAACAATCATTCAAGTCCAGCGAAAAATAGAAGTATATTCACATCAGATACTCATATGATCCATCCATTTACTCATCAAAGCTTTTCCCCTCATCATTTCCGATGACTCTATAATTACTACGTCGTCTAATCATATTTTGCGTTAGGCTTTACTATGACGCTTTCATTTCCGCGGGGAACGGAGATTGCGTAGAAAAGGAGAATTGAAGAAGACTTCCAGAAAAAATTCCACAGGTTTTGCACAAAAGCAAATTTAGTTTAGAATTGATCAGAATATAGCACAAACTATATGAATCACTTTTAAATTGTCTTCAGATAGACCGTAATCCAAGTCCAAGCTTTTTTGTGACCCAGCACAGATGTAGTCATCCAAGAATGTCTTTATTGATTCAACGCTAAACTTTCACATTTTTCCATATTGTATATAGTTGCTGAGTCCTAATAAATTCCGGGCGAAAACATTCGAACTTGAGAGGAGCACATTTTTTTGTCTTCTTATTCACTATTTGGTGTTGAATTTTTCTTGAGATCTTTTTTTGGGGGGGGGGACTTTTCATACGATCAGGGACCTCGCACCTAGCTTTCGCACCTACCTCCACCTACATCGCACCTCTCCATCCACGTAATGAGTAAGATTCTCTACTACGCCTAGGTGAGGGGGGGAGGGGGACTTTTCATACGAACGCTCCCCGATCAATATGACCTTTTAGCGGTATGCTAGGGTGCTGGTAATACGACCAGTTATCGATTACAATGGACTAGAATGAAACGTTTATTATCAAAAATGTGTAATGTAAAGAATATGATTTTGTCTGTTGTATAAAGCTTACTTCAAACGTCACTTCAAACATCTATTAAGCCAACAAACTTTGTCCGGCACTTTTTGAATTCTCCCATACAAGAAACTGGAGTTTTAAGTTGATGACACCCAGGAAAATCGCGCCCCTTGACCGTCTCCCTCTCCAATAACCCTTACGGAAAGAGTAGCACTTCCAGGTCATGCTGAAGGTTCGGAGAGGCATGTGACAATACTCAAATCAGTTCAAAACGTTTGTAAACGAAAAACCGAATTATGCCGACTTAAATACTGAAAAATTCGTGTGGAACGATCATGATGACATTTTTCACAGCAAAACACTTTTTGAATCCACACACCATTTAAGTTTTCATTTTATCCAAATTTGCGGTACTGCAAAAGCTAATCTAGATGTTTTCTTTTTTGGAATGGAGCCCGCAGGCCCAAACCTGGCATGGTGCCAGTTTTTACTGGATCTTTGCCAAAAGATGATATGGGGGCATTCGTATGAAAAGTCCCCTCCTCCCCCCCCCTCTCTACAGTATACTAGACAGGGAGGTGCGAGACTTCACACTTAGCCGTAGGTGTTCACACCTCGCACCTCGGAAATGCTCATCGTATGAAAAGTCACTCACCCATTTTTTGAGCTGTTTCCACCTAGCTTCGCCCATGAGCGTCAGTCCTCCAAAAAGAGATGTATGAAATTTTTGAGAGAATAAGTCCACGTAAAATTAGTTAGTCATTAACTTCAGCCAAATGAAAATTTAAAAATTCCAAAACACTTTTAGTATTGTCACTATAATAGAAAATAATTAAAACGATGTAATGTTAATTGAATGGTCAAGAGCAAAGATCAAAAGCTCGACAGCCATAAAGTTAGAGACATAAATTCCATTCCATACATGGCAACATCGACAATGCATAATAAATTGAGAGCAAAAGCAATATGGCAGAATGATAGTTGCTATGCCTCGATCGCAAAGCCGCCAACGTTTAGGTGAGACAGGGTCTGCTCCTAAGTTCGAACTAGAAGAATTTGTTTTTGCGTGTTTTTTGATTTTTTCCAATAATTAGGCTCTTAAGAATTCATTCATTGAGAACATCTTTTGTCATCAATGTGTGCAGCATGATATGATATCGATATTCTAGTGTAATATGAGTCAAGCAAAAAGAAGGAACTGAAATAAAGGATATTTGAAGCCCCCACTCAAAAATTGAGTTTCTTATGACAGAAGATCTGCAGAAACTCTCTTTTGCAAAACTGCGCTGCAAAATATGGAGGCGAATGTAACAGCCGTGTGGAGATGACACGGAGTGGATGATAAAGTTTTTGATTTGAAATTCTTCCGCTTTGCTGAGTTGAAATGCTTAAGCGTGCGGTAGAGCATAAGCGTGCGAGAAAGAGACCAAAGAGATCAGGGTTGAAACAACCCAACAAAAAGCAAAGAGCACACACCTAAAAAATGTTATTTAGATTGATATGATTTTTTGTAGGCTTTATTTCGTCTTAAAAAATGCCTGGCTATCACTTCGCACGAAAGATATAAGATAGCATTAAGATAGCAGATATAAGATAGCATCGGGTGCAGTCCTAATTTTGAAACAGCCACAACAGATAAATAATGAAAATTGTTAAATCAGATGAAGCTGGCTTGAAATCACTAGTCCTTAGCTTCGTGTTCTGTAAAAGGCTATGAAGGCGAAAGCCAGCCATTCCTTATGGAACAAAGCCAAATGATGAAATATTAGCTTTTCTCAGCGTCACAAAACGGTCTCATATCCGTATTCAGCCAAAGCATAAGTGTGTGGGAACTTTGGAATGAGAAACTCGATACCTGGCTTTGGATACTGGGACATAAGTTGAGATTGGGACATAAGCGAAAAGTAGTTATTGCAGAATTATGTGTAATGTCTAGCCACTGGCGTTGCTAGGGAATTAGTCCCGATCTTCTTGGGTGACATGGCTTTCCGTGGAAGTAGATTGGAAAGGCAGCTGTAGATTAATGTGTTCAGAAAAAAATCTGATCAAATTTTGTCAAATTAGATTCCTGAGACTGGTACAGGAAAATGTTAACAAGATAGTTTCATTTTTTCGCGCGACGAAAGAGCTTACCGTACTCAAAGACCCGACTGGTTTGCGTGAAAAGATTACTGTCTGGGCAAGAATAGTAAATTTCTGCACATGCAATTTTTTGCTGCATCTGATTTTGGCACTTCAAACTTTTGAGATAAATTACACTAGGAAACTTGGTTAGGAAACTGATTGGCTAGCACGAAAGAAGGTTTGGGCAAGAGTTGAGAGTGAATTTCTCGGCTAGATATCATATCAGCTGCCGCTTGGACTGTCACTTCTAACTTCCACATCGCTCGATACTAGTGAATATTTTCAAATTAAAAAAATGCTCTCGACTTCTTCCGAGAGGAAGAATAGGCGTGAGAAACAATTACAATCCTTGCTTTCGATCAACAACATAGCCAAACAAATACCAATTCTACATAACAAATGACGCTCATACAAAGTAATAAAAGCAATAGCCGGCAAAATCGTAACTAATAAATTTTAACCTTAATTTGCAATTTAAAAATACTGTTTTTAACGAAAAAATTTCATTAGTAAAAGTTCATTATGTTGTCGAAATTTTTTACTGTCTTTTACATTCATTGTGCCAACTTTGGCAATCCATTCCTATTCGAACATATTTTTCATTGATGGAATGTGCATTTTACTAAAGAGTTGGTTGAACGTGAAGTAATTTCATTAGCCTGAACAGCATAATAGAGAAAAGTCAAAAATTCTAGTAAAAATCTACGTCAATCTAGCACTTCAACTTATACTATCATTTATGGACATTTCCATCATATATTGTGAATAAAAGCCAGAACTAATCAGCATAGAGTGAAAAAATTCAAAAAAGCGAAAAATTTGACTAATGTCACTAATGCTGAGTGTTCCAGACAGGAGGATGTGAAAGTTAGCGTGACTGTGGCTCATTTAAAGTCCGGACATTCGAGAATCGATAGTGTCATGGGTAGGGGGGAAATGCCCCTGCATCGCTTAGTCCTACCTGATTACAGACGAGGCGCTTGCGAAATTGAAAAAGAAATCAGCTGTGTGATTCGCTCGACAAAATGTCATAAAATGTGCTTTAATTAGCTAGACGGCCTCATGTTGTCAGCAACTTTGAAAGGATAAAGCGATTCTGAATTTCGCAAGAGCTATGAAGAATGTAGGGAGCGAGTTCAGTAAGAGAAAGAAGGAAAAAACGTGAGTAGAAGTGGTCCCACCTCCTCGGAGCTGCATTAGCTAGTTACCGTAATGGTTTTATTCGCAGCAAAAAGTAAGTATGACGCATCGCGCGCGCAAATCCTTCGCTCCTCGAGAGGTTAAGGACTGAGCGATGGGAAGCGGAAGAGCGGATGAGCGTCCTCGTGTGGCGTGTCGTGTTTTTGCGCGCGACGCGCACCAAAAGCGACATCGTCCGGAAAAGCTCACGCGCTCTTGCGTCCTCTCTCACTTCCACATCGATTCTAAGCCCGCAACGTAGCACTAATGCTAGCAATGTGCCCTCCTCTAATGCCCTGGGCTTAACTCTCGTCCATCAGGTGATCGCTGCAATGAAGCGAAAAATCTGGGGCAAGCATTTGTCCTAGCTGCGGAGCACTTTCCTCTGGCGGGCGAGTACGAGTAGAACAGACAAAATGCGCTCTTTCGTCACATTTCTGGATGTTTCGTCGCTGAATGCATTGTTTTTGAGCCAGACGGACAGACATCCTTTAAGGATATTGAAGGCCATGCTCGTGATTTTTGATAAACAACTATTAACATGTTGTCTGGCGTTCCACCAGAATTTGAACACTGGACCGCTTCGAAAACAAAAGAAGCAAATATGAGTATCATTCATTCTAAAGCTAGAAGACTCGAGATCGCATTGCACGCATTTTTCAAACGCTTTGAGGTGTAATATTAGGTTGCTGATCAATTTTTGCGACTTCCTCCATAATTTTTCTTCTCTTGAATATGACACACTAAAACTTCGGCATTATTTGGTAAAAAAATTGAAAAAATTTAAGCAGTTTTCCAAAACTACTGAATTGTCGAATTTCACTGGATCACAAGCAAAGGTAAAGAGCTTTTCGCAGCCCAGGTCAAACCTATCGACACCATAGCTGCGATAGGGGGAGTGATGGATCTTACCCCCTTCACTCTGCGTCCGAAATCCGGATGACCCCCTTTACCTGTGGCTGAGATTGGTATTGTACTTTAACCCATTGACGACGATGTGGACCACCGATGCCCACGCACCATTTGCCGCCAGGGACGATGTGGACCACCGGTGGCCCACACACCTTGCAAAATCGTATCCTTTCCAGGTCTAGTATTTTTTCCAGAGTTCACCATTTTTCCCAGTTCTTTGCACTCTTGGAACCTATAGACTTCGTCGTCCAAGAAGATGGCTTTAGTTGCTTACAAAACATTCTTACATTTCGTAAATAATCACAAAACTTCCCGCGCCGCGAATGTTGTGCAAAATCGCGTCGTCCCATAGCGCCGCCACGCAAAATTAGGCATCGTCGTCAATGGGTTAAGAATATAAGATGGGAATCATTACTAAAAGGTTTTGGAGGCTGAGTACCTCAAGAACAAGTACACTCATAGATTTACAAAGGAAACAGTATTATGTTTATTCATTCATTTATTTGTTGAAAATAAACGTTTACAGAAGCACAAACTTTTCCGAGCGTTGATAAATACGTCTCTAAGCGTTGAGTTCCATGAAAATCAATCAGTCTTATTTCAGTAATAGACAGTACTTCTTAGCATTAAAGCTTCAATTCTTTCGAGTATATTGCAACGAAGACCTTCATTTACGATTGTAAGTTCTCGAAATTGTAAGAGGCGTCCTGCAAGTCATCTCTCCAGGCATCCTCCTCATTATCGTTGAAAATGTACAGGGTGTCCCAAAAGTCTTTGAGCCTAGTATTTCCTCCGCTGAAAATGCATGAAGCAACATAGATGCATGAAATTCAGCAGGGAATTTGCGAAGAGCCTACAAAATAACATGATACACTCGGATTTCGAAAAACCTTCCTTTGGCCTTTACACAGGCTCTCAGACGCTTGCGGAATGCATGCACGATGGCAGCCAGGTAGTTGACATCGAGACTGTCTCACACCTTCTGAAGCAAGCAATCCAGACTGTCCAAAATTTAGCATGGAATAGAGCAAACCTTGTTTTCCATTATTGATCACAAAGAAAAGTCAAGGGCCTCTTGACCCGGCTATTGAAGGCACGTAAATCTGAGAAGCATATCTGTGAGATTTGACAAAAGTGTCGAAGTGTAGCATTCAAGTGTTTGAGAACACCAAGAAATACACCATTATGGTGTACCGGGAGTGACTTTAAAATGGTATTTCAGTAGGAAATGCACGGCTTACAGCTAGAATTAGTGACTAAAGCTGATTCGGTGCTCGACTTTCCAGCTTTTCCAGGTTTTTGTTTCCGGGAACTTTTTTTTCTCATTGGCACAGCACAACTTCAGTGTTTGTATCCTAATCCTACTCTAATGAACGAAGACTACTGATTGGTTTTGCACTGTAAATGTAGAGTGAACCTAGCTCTACAATATGCAGTTTAAAAGTCCACAAGAGCTCCAAAGGCAAAAGAGCTGTAAATATTTGAATAGGAGGTACGTTTCCTTCGGCTCGTCT